CAAAGGTGTTTCAATTGGTAGCTGTTATGTAGTTATATCTACTGAATGATGAGTGATGTATGTGTTGGAACAGGAAGCAGTCATCATTGATCAGTTGCAGTTAGCAATAGGTAGCATAAATGAAAGATGCTATTAAATATGACATCAAAAAACCAAACATGTTCTGAAACAGTACTGCTATAGAGGGCATTCAGCAGAAAAATACTCAACAGCTACAGAACTGTTAGGTCTACTGAACACAGTCAATGTTTCATGCATTTTCTGTTTAGAAAGATCCAAAGGTTAACTGCATCCTTTATGTGAAGAATGTTTTATTTTACAATCCATTAGACTAATTCCTTCTAATATGCCATGACTCCACATGAAACATGACTCATTGGGAGTCTCATTCCTTTCCACTTTTCCAAGAACTCTAGTAACAGTATTGATTAAAAACAATATGTGTAAATGATGGTTTAGGTTGGTAGCAAATTAGGCAATATTGACAAAACCCAGTTGCTAGTGACATCTATGAGCTATGAGGTGATAGTGTGTTTGCATGTTGTTGGAAACAGTCAGCACTATGTAAAAGAAGATATGACTAACAACAAAAGAGATATCTGTCTAGTTAGATTTCTGGAAAATCAAGGTAAAACATACATGTGCAGTTGAATTTACTACAAATAATTTTGGGATAATCTCTCAGGGCTGAATCCATTTTTGATTCACCCTTGCTCGTCTTCTATGTGTAGATCTGTCTCTGACTACATAAACAGTTGCAACTAGTTAATAAAAGTTCATCATTGCTAGATTTCAATGTCTCTGCCATGTTTACCAATAACTTGAAGGAGATAAACCATCTGTTACTCAGCAAAAGCAAGGCTCACAAATTTTAAGTAGTTAAATATGTAATGTCATAGAAGTTAATTTGCACATTTAGAAATCAAGCTTTCACACTTTCACATCTAGCAACATACTGAAGACATGAGATTGGTCTGTGCCGTCATATTGTCAGAAGTTGCTCAGTTTGCTACTGACTTTACATGATATAATTACCACCAACATTTTGTTACTCAAAACTGCAATATACATGGATTTTCCTCATTTGAACCAACTCATGACTTATTGGTAACTTTGGTTCAACAAGTCACAATAATGTTGCAGAAAATCTAATCTGTCTGATTTTTTACTTTTGTCATATTGTCAAACCAATGATGAAATCAGAATTAAATGTTAGATTGCATTTTTGCTACACTCAAGAGAAACAAATACTTTTGCACCTCTTTGTAAGTCAGAACAAAGTTTGATTCCAGTGCATTGTGTAAACATTTGAATCATCAAGAAATCTTATAGACATATTTTTGAGTGCAACAAAATTTTGGCGATAGTCGTACCTTATCATATAAAACCAGTCATAAAATGGGTTCACACTTTAGTCCACCAGACTGATCAGACTGATTCTATTATACAGGTGTCACATTTCCGTAGCATCCATTATCACTTGTCCAACTGGTAAGTCAACTTTGTTCATAGGGTCCTAAAAATCCTTAATCTGCCAGCAATTGCAGGAGATCTTTCTGAAAATTGCAATAAATGCAAATACTTATGTCAGGAAATAATAAATTCCATTCTGTGTAATTATTATTCCAATAACTCAGCTTGAGCTTTTGATAAATTTAAATCCTGAATTAGGTCATTCAGTTCTGGCTGAGTAATCAGATGAGGTTTACCTTCTTAAGTTGATAAGTTATATATTTCTCATCAGGGGTCGAACACACCAAAATTTCTTTCTGATTCAAATTAAAACTCTCTCAAAGAGCAAAAACTAAATGAATGAAGTACAGGTTGTTTTCTTACAGAAAGTAAATTAGGATATGCAATTTTACTCTTATTTTTGTTTGAAAATCCAAAAATTTTTAGTAAGCAAAAGTAACAAACTGTATTATGATTGTTTATTTTCTATTTGCTCTTACCAAATATTCAGAACTGTAAATGGCATTGAAATGGTCTTGCCATTTAATCAACTTTTCAAAGTAACAGCACTTTGTATACAACATATACGAGAAGATAACACTTGTCTTCAGTTTTAATTTTTAAACCAGAATGTGAACAATATGACTTCTCTATTATAGATTTAATGTTTTGTTTATGTTGTTGAATAATAAACTTCCCACCAGTGGTACATTATCCTATGGGCGAAAGAGACAATTGCCTGGAACCCCAAACCAATCTTTTATAAGAAAACAATTTCCCAAAAAAATTCCCCCAAAGAAAAATTTCTGAAGCCAACACTTGTACATGGGGGGCTATAATTCAAATATGTCTGGACACCATGAAGCTATAATGGGGTCACAACAAAAATTATTAAGGTCATTTATAAACTTGCAAGACATTTTAATAATCACCAATATTGAAATCAATTTTTTGAGTAAAAATTATTTAATTTTATATTGCTTAAATCTTTGTAGTCATTTTACTAAAATGGGCAAGGCATTAAAGTTATGATTGATAGCACAATCTAACAAGTAGGGTTTCTCAAACGGGATCCCGGGATCCCGGTTGTTTTTTTAATCCGGAAAATATCCCGGGAAATCCCGCAAGTTTCTTTAAAATTCACTTTTTTTCTTATTTTGTGTTAAGGTTGAGGAATTTTGCAAATAGAAAGCATAATTAACTCATTCACTGTCAGAATACATTTGTANTATAAAACATATATAAATTTATATTTATATAAAGTATATTATATAAAGTACCAACCTCCTCTTAGGAGAGCAGAGGCGGTTGGTATAACTTATGGTGATTCTAAAACTTCCGGTACACTGTGGGTGGTGGACTAGTTACTTATTCGTAGGTTTTCTTATATTTTATTAATATTTAGGCCGCTTTTCTATAATTCTTCGGGAGTATAAAGGACAAGATTAACATTATATACAGCAATGTTTTAATTCGAATTTTTTTTATTATTATTAATTGTAATGCGAAAATTTAATTTTAGAAAGATATAAATTTATGATTTTCTGTTTCTGTAATTTTATCATTGATATTTATTCTAATTTCTTAAATTAATATTCATTCAAGTTTTAAACTTTTAGAAATAGTGTCGCCTGTACTTATGCTCATTTTTTAACATTGTTTTATATAGAGTTGTCCAGGTACTAGACCTACATTGACTGCATTGGCATTCTATCAGCAATTCAAAATGCAAACAAGCAGTATAATCGATAAGATAATGAATTACTATGCAATTAATTTGATGAATTATTGTATGATAATTTTATAATATTTTAATTATTAAAAAATTGTATGGCTTTACATCTATCATACAATAGTTCCTACGTCTAATGTAGCTATATAATGCATGGAATTTACATTGTGGCTAAGTATTTGCATTCATTCGAAAGGTAATAGTAAATTTTTCAACTTTTATTCTCATACTATTAAAAAACAGACTATCTTCGAGTAGGCATGAAAACGGTAATGAATTGATTGGATAAGGCAACGCGACATATGGGAAATTCGCCAAGGGAGGGGTACAGTACCTCCCGGGAGGACTTTCAACGGAAAATTGGCCTGTATTTAGGTATTGAAAAACCCCATCTACCCAACCCGTTGGTAAGGCACCAACCCACGAGTATTCAGTGTTCACTGGTTTTATTCACTCGGCCACTGGTGGGCGAAAACGATAATGGAAAACAATTTTAAAAAATTCTGCACGTAGCCAGTCTTTCCATCTTTTAAATCCATAATTTATACACTTGAGTGAATTATTTTTTACTCTTTTCGCCCGTGGGCCCTTTTATCAAAACCCATCGTGGGTTCGGCCAGGATCACAATGAGGCGACCGGATGATGAGGGATGGGGCCCGACATTTCATGACCACCCCCGAAAAATTCCTGGGGTGTTTTTTGACCCGTCCTGATTCTTTCCAGCCTTAGACTGATGCCTTAACGATTCGGTCATTCGCCGTTTGTTCAGTTATCTGAAAATTTACTCGAGTGAATTTAGCTATACCATTTTCTCTTGATGTCACTTCACCATGTGAATTAACTTATTTTTCTTAATTTCCTTAGTTTCATTTGATGTGTCATTAACTTTGATTTTGCGTATTGACTGTAATTAGTACTTAATGAATAACTCGATAAGTAATTCGTTCAATTCGTTTGACTTTACGAATGTACTCTAGAATTATTAACAAAAAACAAAAATGTAGTAGAAAAGAAAGATAAAATGCGGTAACAAATATAAATACGCATGTAGAAACAGAATATAAGTTATACGGAAATTACGACATTGCGAAATTGAAAGCAATTATTTTATTACAAAACTTGAAAACTAAAGAAATAAAATCGAGCGGAAGAAAGGAGAGAAATTTTTTAAACAAGAAATCTACTCGGGATAATGGCTCATGTATTCACCAACACATTTCGAATCTATACGTTTTCGTAGACATGTCATAATGAAAAAAATTTTCAACGTTTTTTATGTTAGGTTATTCTTAAATGATTTTCAAATGACTATTCAGAAATTTATCATCGTATTACCATGAGATCCGGATTCTAATTCGATCCATACTTCCGTGATTTATTTTTATTTTTTATTTTTTTCATTATTAATTCGTGACAAAGACATCATTTCTCACCATTCATCCACGCTGGCCGATCTCATTATGGATTAGACCTTAATACGTAAAGCTAAAATAAGCCATATATTTTATATCAAACTAGCTCTTTTTTATCAGTAAATTGTATTAAATCAATTCTTAAGGTTGAATTTATTTAATTTTACGTTTTATTTTATTAAAAATAAAAAATAAAAATAAAAAAATGTTGAACTTTTTCAAATTTAAATTTAAAATTAATTATTTAGATAATTAGAATAAATTTTTACGTTGATTATTTTAGCTGATATTTTCAAAATTTCATCAACACTTTTTAAATAAATTTATTATTTTTAAACACATTTTAAAAGTTTTTTTGTGACGCCTCTAGCGGTGAAATTAGTTAACTTAACCACGTGTTTAAAGGTCTAAACGAATATGAGATCTTTTAACATTGATCTTTGCCCATTACATTTGATAAATTTTTTGATCTTATCATTTGCTTAATTTTTCTTCACAAGCATTTAAAGTGCAATTAGTTTTCTAGTCTTCATATTAAGAAAAAAACAAGAACAAAAATGAGACTCAGATTTGCTGCTAATATTTCAACTCTTTTTAGAGAATATGAATGTTTATCTGATAGATATCAAGCAGCTAAAGATTTTGGATTTAAAGCTGTAGAAACACAGTTTCCCTATACTGTTCCTGTAGAAAATTTGAAGGCTGCTCAGCAACAAACCAAGTTGCAACAAGTTCTAATAAACAGTTTTCCAGGTATGTAAACATTTAATTTCTGTACTTGTTATTTTAGAGCATAATGCATATATAAGTACTGTACATAAAATTTACAATTTATGCATTAAAATAAAATTCTGTTAAAAGTGAACTGATACATTAATACATTAAAATGTTATAACCGTAACTAGTACATATCAGTTTTGAACATACAATATATGCTTTTCATTAGTAAATGAAATAGTTTTTTGATGGTTGCTGTAGTCTTCATTTTTCATTAATTATCTTACAGTATAGGCCTATTAACTGTTAATTTTATTCTTTCAGATATATTGATAAAATTTAACAGGTAATTACAGTCGACCCCCCTATAATTACGGTCCCTATAATTACGATTCCTATAAAACTACGAAAAAATATACGTATTTTGGAAATGTTGAGTCGGATTAGTGTAGAATCGATTAATTTTATGGAAGAAAACCTTTCAATCAG